ATTCACTAGCTTTACTACTTTCTTTCAACAAAGTTGTTAATAGTCAAAAAAAGAGGTTAGAGAAGTTTGAAGCAGCAAATATGCATGATTGAATATTGATATAAGAAGAATCAGGTGTATATCACAAATAAAAGGAGGAAGAATAGTAATTAGTTAATACCTGCATCTAGAGAATCTTAGAAAGTGCTAGGATTGGGTTTATCTTAAATGGTTCTGAAAAAATCTTTTATAGTAGGTCTTGCTTCTCAGGGAATCTCCATAACCATAAAGTTGATTTTCTTCAAACAATGTAGAGAATAACTTAATGGAGTTGGATCGGATTTCTTTTTCCATATGAATTTTCTTTTGCGAAATCAGTAAACTGTATTAAGCACTTCTCTCATAGCCAAACTCTCTATAGACTTATCAGGATCCACATTAATCCTGCGTAGGCTAAAAGAGGATCAAAGTTTATTCTCTGCGTATTCTATGCTCAGCAACAGTTTTAGCTTAGCAGTAGCATAATCTGGTTCAACTGTAAGATATAGGAGGGAAGGAAAAGAAAGAGGTAAGTGCGAAGACCTAATTTAAAACAACCGATTGAGTTCTACATAGAATCAACAGGCAGGAATGATCCAGCCAACTTACCGAGGAACAAGACTTGGTGGAACATGATCTCTGCATGTATTTGGTGGATAATTTGGAATGAGTGGAACTTAAGATGCTTTGAGGGGATTGTCAACTCTAAACAGAAGATCATTTTGAATTGTATATTTTTGTTTCATATTTGGTGCAAAGAAGATGACGACGGCAAAGTTTTGATGGGAGATGACCAGATTAAGAGGAGGTGGCAGACCTACTTTCATAAACTTCTAAGTGAAGAAGGAGATCAAGATATTAGACCTGGGGAATCGAGGAATGCCGACAGTCACCATGAATTAAGTAATTGTAGGGACATTGAGATCGATGAAGTCATGGAGGCAATGCGTAAGATGAGAAGGGGCAAGCTACCGGGCCAGACGAAATCCCGGTTGAACTGTGGATNACAGGGAATTATGGAGGTCGAGTATTAAGGTTGTAGGTTAGGGGAGAGTTGTGAATATTTCTACGTGAGACTAGCCAGTTAGGAGTTAGACTAAGAATGTCAATGGTCGTCTATTGATGCAGGGTTTTACCTGCTAGTTTTACTATACCAGCCATCTTTTTCGTATTTTGTATTCTGTATTTCATATCTATTGTATTGCTGTTATTTTATTATGCATTTATATGGTACTAATATAGCGGCTTTTGTTGCTTTTTGAGCCGAGGGTCTCCTGGAAACAGCCTCTCTACCCTTCGGGGCAGGGGTAAAGTCTGCGTACATATTACCCTCCCCAGACCCCACTTGTGGGATTATACTGGGTTGTTGTTGTTGTTGTATTTGGTGCAAAGAAGCACTAGTAGAAGATGTAGATTCAGTAGTTGACATCTTGGGTTCTTTGTAATTAGCACATGACTAACTTTTTGTTCTTTTTTGGGGTCCTGTAACTCAGGTTCCTCTTAGCTAAATCTTTGTGCTAAGGACTGCTTTCATTGTTAATAATATAAATGTTATCTTGTTCCAAAAAAAAAAAAGGCAGGAAGAAGGTTGGGTCATATCCATTCTTGAAGTTTTAAACAATGCCTTAAAGACACTCTAAGAAGTTCCGGACTTCGAAATTTGAAACCTATTTCAACCATTTAAAAGCCTTCATTAGATTTATTTTTTTATCCTGATGAGAAAGAACATGTATATGATCATAAAAGAACAAACAAAATCACCTCGGAATCCCCAAAACAGTGAAAGTAAAAGCACCAGGAAATACACATCACCATTTTATTTTTAAAGAAAGAAGAGTTCATTTGACAAGCAGGGGCGAATTTGTAGGCAAATTGACGGGGCACGTGAACCCATGGTCTTTCCATCAAATTAGGTATTTTATGTACAACTTTATTGGAATTAGTCTAGTATTCTCTGCTGGCACCCATGCTCCAAAGAGGCTAAATGGTGCACTTGGTTGAATGATAAGTTATTTACCTACAGGACTAGGGATCAAATCCCACTTTAAACTTTTTTTTTTCTCCTTTTTAGTGATGCACCCATGTTATAAAAATCCTAGATCCGCCTCTGTTGACAAGCCAAAGACTTCTACAAGAAATTATAACCGGAGAGGTCTAAATAAAACAAATGGAAAATATTAATTTAAAAAGACAGCACTGCAAGAGGTGGTAATTCCAACATAAAAATTGAGAAGAAGACATCAATAAGATGAACGTTTTGGACTCTCTCTTGAAAAAAGAAGGGACAAACATCACAAGACCCCTTTTCTCTTGCCGAACAAGAGGTTATAAAGTCTCTCTTACCCCATACAAACTAAAGAGGCATGTAACATACTCCCAAATATGCATTGTCAACTTGATAAATATTTTGAATTCTTAAACTCACACTTTTTAGCAATTTAACATTAACATTCTACACTCTCTGTTGGTGATGGTTATATAGATCACAGAGACACCAACTTTGTAAACTAAAATTAAACTTAACGGAAGATAAGTAAATACAGCTTTTTCAGTTCTTGCAAAAACATTTTCTTTTCTCGGTTAAAAGACAACAGCTTTTAAAATTCAACGTAGTTCAGCGTTGATTGTAGTATTAGCACTGCAAAAATGCGAGCTCAAGAAAAGACCAGATAACTGCAAAAACTCTAATGAAGACATAGGAGAAAACATAAGCACTTGCAACATCCCCACTTCACAATAAATAAACAAAAAATTAAAAAAGGATGTACTCACAACATCTCCACTCCACCTAGCAGCAACATCTAGAGCTTCACCCAACAAGCCGCTGAATTTTGGCCGGAGTACTGACAACTCCCCATGACCTCTTCTTTTCTGAAAGTTGAGTTGAATTTCCGCCTGAGAGTAAAAGTAAAACTTTACAATGTAACTATTTGCTAAATTGCGGATCCTCTAAAACGATACTCCATTCACTGCTTTATTACTTGAAAAGACTAGTGTGCTTAGTAGTGTAAGTCAATTGCATCAGTCTATTAGCATTAGATCATTTTGGAGTTTACGGCGTACAAAAATCTAGAGGGGAAAAGAAAAATAATTGATGGGGAAATGTTGGAAAGAATGGTTTCGTACAAAAAATCTTTTGATATTCAAATAAAGGGACTTTCTGAATCACTTCCAAGTATTGATGGTAAGAACACCTGATCCAGGAGATGAGAAAATGCAAGCAGAAAAGCCAGATAAACATAAACTCTATCTGAACCTCAACACCTAAGGCATGACGTAACTTATTTTCACGCAAAATTTCAGTAGTTTAGTTCCAATAGTTTCTTTTTACCTTTTATCAAAAGAGAAAAAAGAAGCTTTTATAACCCTTTAGTTTTTGAGACGTGTGAAGGATGATGATTCAAAGCTTCCTTATTATGCAAGTATGACAACCAAAACTCTTGACCAGGCAGTCAATCAAAGAACAAATTATTTCAGCTGGATAACAGATTACCCTTTGAATCGTTCCACGAAGCGAAGCCAGCTCCAATTCATCCAAAGGCAAATGTCGCACCTGGTATGCAGGTAAAGGCAGTATAAGTCGTTAAATCAAGCATCTTTATGATCATTAAAGACATGGAATAAATGGAAATACCTCTAAATTAGCTGAGTGCAGCGGCAGATAGCACATGTTAGCTTTTAAGTGTCCCTTCTGGAAGGAAAAAGAGAACATTTTGCCAATCATATTCTCTTCAGAAAGAGGATGAAATGGTCCTCTGACCTCCAGAGTAAGACTTTCATCTGGTCTCCCCATGGCATCCAACTGTATAGAAAATAGAATCAAAATTTAAACACTACAAAATTCATCTAATGGGTATAAATAATTAGAATTTGTAACAAAAATGGACCTTGGAATAACTCAACTCCATAAGCTAGCTCATGAGGTGAGGAATGCCCAAAACCATAAAGGGAGATAACGGCCCATCCCTCAACAAATGTGGGATATTCTAAGAGAACTAAAGCAACCTAAGAGGTGCTAAACAAACCTCGTTCCCATACAAAAAAAGGCAATAATTAAAAAAAGACTAGAACCTAAGTATTGGCATTCTAACTAATCTCATGTATTTAGAGTAGACACTACTCACTTTCTCCAGGCAATCACTCATGATTAGCCACCAATAGCTTGCGGTTATGAGCAAGGTGGGTTCTCTACCCACTAAATACTTGGGATTGCGCTTGGGAGCTTCGCAAAAGGATCTTGCAATGTGGAATCCGGTTATAGGAAAGGTTGAAAGGAGACTAGCAGGTTGGCAAAAGCGGTACTTGTCGAAGGGTGGGAAAGAGTACTCATAAAAAGCACTTTATCGAGCATTCCCACCTACTATTTGTCTTTGTTGCAAGCACCAACGAGACTCACAGAAAATTGGAAAAGCTCCAAAGAAATTTCCTATGGGATGCGGCTGATGGATAGAAAGATACATTTGGTAAATTGGAAACTCGTTACAGCACCAAAGAAGTGGGGTGGTCTAGGGGTAAAAGATCTGAGGCTGTTCCATAGAGCATTATTAGGAAAGTAGCTATGGAGATGTGGGGTGGAGGAGCATGCCTTATGGAGAGAGGTAGTAGTAGAGAAATTTGGTTCTATGGAGGGGGGTTGGAGGACTAAGACCATTTCAGTTCCATTTGGGTGTAGTATGTGGAGGAGCATAATGAAGGGTGGGAAGACTTCAGTGGTCACATTACCTTTAAGGTTAGGGACAATAGAAGAATTAGCTTTTGAAACCACACGTGATGCGGGGAGGATACCTTGAGGACCTCATTCCCTAATATTAAGGCTGGCATGCGGGCCGAGCTCGGGCCTAAGTGGGCTTCGTGGGCCCGGTCCCAACTTAAACGGGCTTCGCGGGCTTTTTGTAGGAACCGGCCCGGGACCTAATGGTCCCGGGCTAAGTGGGTCGATACCGGGCCTAAGTGGGCCCAACAGATACTTTCTATTTTTTTTAAAATTTTATAAAAGTTAGAGAAAAAAAATGGTAATAAAAATATCTAAGGCAATTTCATGTAAATTATATTTATAGAATTGTGACCTAAATTTTTTAATTCAAATTTAAAGACAAAAATATTGTAAAGAGATATTCAAAGCAATGCGTTATAATTTTATTATAGCATTATAAAAACATGACAATATCTTTCTTAGTCTTCCTCCCCCTATGGAATGAGCACAACAAGGTGCTAATACCACCGTTGAGAAGAAAAAGAAACTAATCAAGATGTGCCAAAATACAAGTTACATATTAATTTTTGTTCATACAAGTTACATGGTATCTCTTACAAATTTCATAAATCCTTCAAGGTCCGGAGGAATTTCCGTTGGTGGTGGCAGAAAAGAAGTTTGGTCATCACAGCTTCCGGGTGAAGCAGCATCCTCCCCAAGTTCAGCTAGCATCATTTGGATTATTATTAGTTGGGTTAACTTCAGGAGCAGGACTAGTGGATGTATCGCCATCCGGTTGCATTTCATCAAAATCTATTTCTTCATCATCATTTTCATCAATAGTTGGATTACCATAAAGAGCATTCATATATTCATGATTTAATTGTTCACAGGGTGCAATATTATGGCAAAATTGACTCTCGGTAAATTGTAATAAACTATTATCGCTATCAAGAATAGCAGGTGTAGGACGGGTAACAGGTTTGGGTCGGGGAGCCGGGGGAAGTGGAGGAGGAACAGATTGGCCACTAGATTCACCACTCTTGGAGTTCCCTTATTTTTACTAAATATTTCTTTTAAGGAATAAGCCATCTTAATTAATCAAGCAATACAAAGTAAATAAAACAAACAAAACTATTATATTAAAACGTAAGAGTTGGAACGAGTTTACCGAATTGACGAACTTATTGAAAATTAATTATCGTTGAAGACTTGAAGACTTCAATTCACCAACTTCACAATTTTTCACAAATTGTAACAACAAAGTAAGCAATTATAGAAAAAAATTAGAGAGAGATTGATGATTTGGTGAGAAAAATGAAAGAATGAGGGGTATTTATAGTTGAAAATAGGGAAAAAGTGTAATTATAAAAACTTTGGGGTTAGAACAAAGTTGGGGGGTTAAATGGCTATTTGGCAGAGGAAACGACTAGATTTTAAATGCCCAAACGGACAGATTTTTTTAAAAAAAATTATGGCCGTTGGGACCGTTTAGGACCGGTCCGGTCTCGGTCTCGCGGGCCTCAAGCTAAAGACCGGCCCACTTGCCAGGCCCACCTCCCCGATCCCGGTCTTAAACGGTTCAGTCCGTTTAGGCCCACTACCCACATGGGCCGCGGTCCCGGTCCTGGACCGGCCCACTTGCCGGCCTTACCTAATATGTACACAGTTTCGAATCATAGACCATTGACAGTCCACCAGATTCGTAGGGAGCATGAACGGGAAGTTCTATGGGACCTCACGTTTAGGAGAAATCTGCAAGAGGAGAAATCTGCAAGACTGGAGATTGGGGAGTTTCAAGGGTTGATGGAGCTACTCTACAGGCAAATCAGGCCCCATTTTATTAGTGACTCATGGAGATGGGCGTTGAGGGGTGATAGTCTATTCATTGTCAAATCTTTCTATCAAAGTTTGCTGGTGAGGGAGGAAACACACTTTCCACATCTATCGATTTGGATTCCTAGGGCGCCTAGGAAATATGCTTGTTTGCATGGTTGGCAGCAAGCGGAGCAATTCTGACAGCTGAGAATTTGAGAAAGAGAAGTATTATCCATAACAGCTGGTGCTATGTGTAAATGTCCGGGCGAAGAAGTTGGTCGTCTATCGGTGCATTGTGTAGTAGCATCGGGATTGTGGATGGTGGTTTTGAACTTCTTTGTTGTTCTGTGGGTTATGCCAACTACTATTAGAGACGTATTGCACAACTGGGATGGTAGACTAGGAGAAGAAGACAAAAGGCATGGGACGTTGCTCCGTTAGCTCTTATGTGGGTCAGAGAAAGAACTAGGAGAGCTTTTGAGGGGATTGAAAATAATTTTGCACACTTGGGGAATAGTCTTTTGTCTTTGATTGCTTTTTGATGCACCCATGAGATCCCTAATTGTTTAGATGATTGGGTGTCTTTCGTAGAGAATCATGTTTTGATGTAGATTCTCTACTTTTTGGTATACCAATATATACGGGATTTTCCCCATTGCTAATAATGTCTTTTACCTTATAAAAAAATGTATGCCATATCATCCTTCCATAGAGATGAGAACCAAGATACTAAATCACGCCAAGCCGACGAGTCAGAAACCTTTAAACAGAATCCCCACAGACCACAAAACCTTGGGACAAAAATAAAAAAGGACAGGCATATAGAAAGATTTGCAATTTTCTGTAATTAATTTCCTGTTAGGATGGATGCATTCTCTTTTCCAACCAACAACTCAGGTGTTCAGAAGATAACAAAGATGATCCCATGGGTTCTTCAGATGAGGACAACCTTGTCCACCAATATTTTAGGTAGGCAGAAATTTATTCAAGAGCTGAGGACTAAGTTGTAGCAAGGAATATTCAAATGCTGTTTCAAACATAAACTTGGGGTATACAAAAATAAGAAACAAACTAATGCGGCATACCTTAAGACCCTGCTGTGTGATGCTCAATGCTCCAGCCATCTGAGGTGCCAGCATCAATTGATTGAGTTTGAGTCCAGAGATTGAAACTTCACCGGAAAGAGTATCTGTAGCATCATTACATTCAACTGGAACATCTTCTGATCTCTTTTCAGAATGCACAAAATGCTGGTCAGCAATGCTGGAAGCTTTAACAACCTTTCCTTGAAACTTTATCCTTCCAGTTGCTTTCAGGTGAACAGGTTTTGGAGAATCCAAAGCATATGAAGAGACTGAACTGAAAAATTCGAAACTGCGCATTCTCAAATCCAGTTCAACTCCTTCCACAGTAAAGGGCAGGGGAGCATTCACGTGATAATCTCTCAGGTTTAAGCAGTAATCATCACGATAGGAGGTCAGAACTTTTGAATACAAGTCAAAAGCAACTGATGAAGAATTAACAGTTATATGATCAGGTGAAATTATGATATCTCCACGAGCATCTGTGAGTGATCCTTCAGCTTTGGGTGCCGTCCATTTGATATCAAACCGTCTGCAACCAGAAATTGGTCTATCAGCAATGTCATGATAAATTTTTATCAAACTACTAGAAATACAACCTTTTTAAAAAACATAAAAGCATCAAATAGGGGAAAATTACTTACCCTTTTTCCGATAAAAGAAAATTTTATTAAGTAAGGAGGTTAAACAGAAAACTAAGATATCTTCATCCCTGAAAAAACGTCTACATCAGATAAACAGAGCCAGGAGCCTTCAGCTCTCATGCGAAGATCACAAGCGCTAAAACATGAAAAGAGCCTATTGCCTTCTTTTGGGACACTAAGACCCGACCACAAAGAAACAGGAAGATCACTATATCTCAAACATAATTTATCCTGAGAAACCAATCTTTGGTAACAATGATGCAGTCCGAGAAACTAATCGGAAATGCTAGCATTACATTCTACCAACGACATAATAGGCAGTGAAACACCTTGCTAGACAATCTTTCCCCCCAATATTAACATTGAAAATTTTACAGAATGAATGTGAAACCACAAAAGATTCAGCAAAAAGCCCAAACCATCTCCACCACAAACCTCTTGCAAACGAGCAACGGAGAGAAGATCTAGTTGTTCTTGCACATAATGCACCAAACTTGACTTATGGTTTTCTAGAGTGTTCTCAGCTGTAAAATTCTATTGGTGCTATGGAGCACAGACCAATCAAAAGCATTGGCTCAAAGTTAGGAGAATAAAAGAGGCCTGAGGGGGACTCCCTGAGGGTTGTCGGTGCCCGCGAGGATGGATGAAGATTTTTATCTGAAGGCCACAGCTGAATCTAGATACCAGATGTGTTATGAATATAAAATATTACCATTCAGAAAGTAGATACAGAACTGTCTATCTAAAGACATATGACACCACCAT